GGGCTCCGCCTCTCCGGGCCGCCGCTGCCGAGCCCCTGCAGGGCAGCGCCCGCCTTGAGAACGACGCCCTCGGCGCCTTAGCGAAGGCGAAACCCAAGCCGGGCGTTACCCAGCGCTGCACAAGCGCAGCAGCCGCCGCCTCTGCTGGATGACTCTGCCCCGTTCAGCACGCAGCTACTGTGGGGCGCGCTGCCTTGGGTTTACTGTGGCCACAGTCCTAGGCGGGTCACTAGAAAAGGGTCACACACTGACAGTGTAGCAAGCACTAAAAGACAGCTTATTTGTAAAACCATTTTCTCTCTTTCATTCATAAATATTGCATATTTACCTGCTGCCTTTGGCATGCCAGCCATCTACAAACTTACCTCCCAGGACAGCACCTCTAAGCTCTCTTCTTCTGTTGTATTTCAGTGCATATTTTTACAACCGCCATGCATTTCAGTCAGTCCGTCTTGTTTCTCTCTCTCCTCCCAGGGGAAGCCTGGGGAGCACGAAGGCGGCACCCTTCCTTTGCTTCCACCGCACCAGGGGAGAAGGCCTGCTCCTCGCAGCCTTCAGCTGCCCCGCTCCGGAAGGGGAGGAACCATCCCCTTTTGCTACTGACAGGGAAAAACCCCCTGCATTAGTCACAAAAAGACAAATTTTACCTCCCTTTATTACATATCTGCCAAAATGGGGAGCAGCACGGTGGTTCCCGTGTAGGTTCTTCGACGATCTCCTCTCTAGGCTTTACCATTACCAGTGCCCCAGGTGCCACTTTCCAGCTCAGCATGGGTGAAGGGGCTGCTGCACTCTGAAGCCAGCATCTCGCTTTGAAAACCAGCGCCCTGAAACGGAGATGCAGAACGAGAGCACTAGAGACAGAAGTATCGTGAGGCTTTACTGCCTGATGTTGCACACAGAGTGGGTTACCTTCAGAAGTCCTGACCCGACCGAGGCATTTCACAATATAAACTTCTAGCAGAAGAAACAAAGTGAGCTTACGTATTGCAAGTGGTATGTTTAACACATTCACACTTCGCCAAAAACGCAGAGCCTGCTGAAGGAAAAAGCTTAGTAAGCAATTAAGCTGATCTCCTAGAAATAACTTCAACGACCACTGCCATCTTTTAATAAAAAAAAAAAGAAACCCCAAATTTATGACAAAAAAAAAAAAGAAAAAACCCCTCACCCAGTCCAGCAGCTAGGTATAGACATCTTGGAAATATAAGACGAAGAAACTAAAAGGGGTGCTAGCTCCCACAGCAACAGCTTCTGAAGTATTCCCTCTCCTTCCCATCTCTCTACGGTACTGCACTTCCTTGCTGGGAGAAGCAGAAAGCGGCTACAGCATCTGCTTCCTTGCCATAAAGAGAAGGCAGTTACAGTAGCCCACAATCGTTCCACGAGTATTGAGAGTAAAAACTCAGTATGAGAATGGATACTTTCCTTACAATCAATTTCTGCTTTCCAGTCCATCAGAAAGACATGTTTAAAGAAAAAAGGGAAGGGGGGGGGGGGGGGGGGGGGAAGGATAAGGCTGTTGCTTCCAAATGATTTTAAGTGCAAGAACAGGATTCACGTAGTTGTTGGTTGTCCTGAACAGCTGCATAGCTATTTCCAAAGAGCGGCACTATGGAAAAGGAGCGCCAAGCCACCAGCCGCTCCCCCAAACGATACAGTTCCCTCCTCCCTTCCATGTCAATGTCAATTCTTCTTTTACCCAGCCGCTCCTTCCAACAGCTCACGTAGCAACTGCTCAGCATCGCTTAAGCACTATGCAGGAGACAGTGCTATAGGAGATACTCCTTGACATAAGCAAGGAATTCTGTTTTAGTTCCCACTTGTCTAATGTTTCACTGTTGACACAACATTAATTTCAAAAGAATTATGATTTGATATACTCGTTTCCCCAATATTCTCAATTTTTAACTGATCTTGATGCAATACAGATAGCATTTCTCTTAGCTAGTTCTCATTTTGTCAAAAATTAGATGATTTAGATATTGAAATTATCTAACATTTAACTCTGGCTACTCATCAGTGTCTTACTGGACTTCTCTCAAATCAAGGCATTTAATTGAATGTATTTATGAACAAAAAACACAGAACATTTTTGAAGTAACAGACAAAAATAAGTTGTTATTTACAAGTAATATATATAACAATACTACTACCATGATAGGCCTTTATACACTGTAACTGCAGTCAATTTTTGCATTGCTTAAAAAAATTTCCTTAAACAGAAATTGTTCAGAATTATCAGTTTGTCCATACATGTGTATGTTATGAGAAATACAATAGCTTTTCACATTTTTAAAATTATCAGCATAATTTACATTTTTTCCCCTAATATCAAGTGAAGATTTAAAAATGGTGCAAACTGGAACACAAAGACAAGTAGCTATGAACACTGAAATACAATCAATTTGGAACATATTAGTGTTTCAAACTATAAATATGTGAGAAAAAAAATCCCTAATATTTGGCATGATCCCCTCACCGCCCACCCCCAAAAGGTCAAAGCAAGACAGCCTTTTAAAGTAACAGTGATTATTGCATATTTTATCTTTGGAAAAGCAGAGTTTTAACCAAAAATATTTTTAATGTAGTTGAAATATAGACATATTTACCTCAAGGAGGAAAGAAAAGCAGAACACACGATCAGTAATGTTATCAGATCAAGCCAGTTAATTTGTTCCATCCTTGCTTTGAGCAATCCCCCATACCTCAGATAATCCACTTGAGTGAATGGGTACTTCAGCAAGCGCAAGAGCAACAATCCAGTTTTATATCACCAACTTTTCATTCTGTTGAAGTCCTTTAAGAATCCCCTCATTTAAGTGCTGACAGGTAAATGAACATATATTTCAAACTGATAGAACAGGGAAAACATTTACCTTTTTTAAACCAGGATATACAAAAGACAATTTGCATAGTTACAGTTCAAGCACAAAGTCACTGTAAATAGGTACAAAAGCATTTATAAATTTACTAAATTTGCTGCTGTTTGTGCCAGCCAAATCTTAGACAGGTATGAATGTAAACTTGAAGGGATTGAGAACAGTCAGTGTTTTTGCTTAAAAAATATGTAGAGAACGCTTTTTAAAGGTTTTAAAAAATATTTTCTGCAGCAGGAACAAACAATTCAAACCCCAAAGAAAGCCATCCACAATGCCCAAATTCCTCCTATACAGCAGAGAAAGTTTGTTCATAGGTTTCAAACCTACATACAAAACGAGGCACTAGTTACACTATTTGGGATGTGTCCATAAACCCTAACATTTCAGTTCACCCCAAGACTTCCAAAACACTGTTGGCTTCTAACTTCCTAGGAAAACATATCATCAGAAGGTGGTGCATAAGAAAATCCAACAAAGGCATCATCTGCCTCTAGGACACTGGCATTAACAACGTTGTAATCTGAAGAAACGCAAACTGAGTATGGGACCATTTCTTCTGTAAACACTGCATCAAAATTCCCAATATCATCTGGTCCAACCTAGAAAACAGAAAGATCTATCAGTTGTCATATTAATGCTGTGTTTTAAACTTGTGCTTGTCCTTTAGGTTTCAAATTTAACTCCTGAGGCTATCTACTTTATGTCGTTCTTCCCTATTTTAAGTACTGTAAATTTAAGGAAGCACACCACAGCATCCCTGAGAAGTTATTAAAAGCCTGCTTGTTTCTTTTAGGCTGGAGTTTGGGCCAAAGCCTACATACCTTTATGAACTAATAAACCTAAGAAATATGAAGAAATGTCTCTTTCTTAAGTGACTGTTAGGGAAATGCAAAAACTAACTCCCCCCCCCCCCCAATCAAAACAACCCCAAAAATGAAAACCCACCAAAAAAAAAACCAAACAAAAAACGCAAACCACACCAAATTATCTTTCTCCCCTTTCCATCAATAATACTTTAAGTGTTAAATTCTAGCAATGGTACTGTTATGATACATGAGCTTCCCAGTAAGACACCTAAGAACTAGAGCATAGTAATATTTAGTCACAGTGAGAAGAGACAAGGCAGCTTAGGCTTCTTCACCACACAGACACAGAGTCAACGAAAGGTGATGCTCTGATGTGACTTCAGGAAGGACTTCCTCCCCACCCTCCCTGAGTTTCTGGACAAGCAGTCACAGACTGACACAGTTTAAACTAACGGGAGGATAAAGAAAAGCTGCAACTAAGGCTTAATAACTACAAAAAAAGCAGGAAATCAGTCTTTTGGAAAGCAAGTGAACAGCCTATCTGTATTTTCTTCTTTGGTCTTCAGACCCCACAAAAATTGACAGTACTTTGACAGGAATGAGCAGAGGAAACAGTGATACGTCAAACTGAGTTTTAAGTAAAAAAAAAAACAAAACCAAACAAAAAAAACCCAAACAAAAAACCAAAAAAACCCCCACAGTATCACTGCTCAAAAGGCCAGTCAGCACTGGGGGGGTCCCATTCTTCACCATTCTGAAACAAACATTCTTTGCAAACAGATGAGCCCTCAAAAGCAGAAGTTTGGCAGGTATGAACTAAACCAGCGCCAGGCACCTACCACATTAGGATTAAATGGTGGTGGAATCTTCTTCTGAAGAAGATCAGTCCAGCTGAGAGATTCAAAGAACGGGTGCTTTTGAATTTCGAGCTGCAGTAAGGAATAAAGATTTTAGATATTTCAGAAATCCATCCTGTGCACCACAGTAAATGCTTCAGACTGCATGCACATAAGGAAGTCATAGAAGTCCTTCATCAGCTTATTTATTCACAGTTTACTTTGCAATAAAAGCTATAGTTGGTAAAAACAGCAATTAAAATTTGTTAGGCTGCCTCTACAAATTGGTTTCCTTTTAAGATCATATTTTCCGCTTTTAAGCCTTAAAATCAACTACCTTGAAGTCTGCCACAGAGCAAGAGTGTTTTCTGTTAGTACCTCTGCTCCTGCCTTAAAGTTTTGTTAGTTTTTGTAAAGCAGGTCATAGTCTGACAAGCAGCTGCTTCAACAACTCTGCAATATGCTTACTAGTTATGAAGCAGCAAACAGCTACGCTAAATGCTTCCATCCTTTTGTCTTGCTCCACGCTGTGAAAATACGATGTCACAGTCTAAATGCTCTGTTACAAGGTCAACAGACTACCTAACGTTAAGGCTGCAAACAGAAGACTACGAAGATCTCACAATGGATGGAAGAATTCCTTTTAGATCATTCCTCATCGCACTGTTCTGAAGACATCTATACCTTCTTACATCAGCTTCTTGCAAACAAAGTTTTTGTTGTTACACTGGGAAAACATTTGCCATGATTTTAAGGCTAAAAAAAAGAGCTGCCGTTTGCATGGTACTAGTGTTCCTCTTTATCTGAAGACTGTTTTTCATGTAGTTAGTTAAACTGACATGACCAGAAAATGGCCTTTTCTTTTGATTATTTCCCAGTTTCACTATGAACAGTGAAACCTACCTTCTTAGTACACCTTAGTGACTACTACACCAGGAATTGCATTTCCTTTGATGGCACGTACAGCAGCAACCAAGCTCAAAATATTTATATCCCACAACAATCATCTCTTTCCTATCCCCAACAGCTTTCAGGGATTGACCACACTGGTGTCTTTAATGAAGAAATAAAAAGGAAGAAAACAAAGACAGACATAACAGAGCAATCTCTGTCTCCAACTGTTGAAGCTGTGCTGTGCACATAAATTTGGTGATGTCCCTTTAAATGAAGTACAGCTTGATAAATTAGGACATTACATACAAAGTCTTCCCTTGCTCCAAGCCTGCTTTGCCGATCTTTCTCCAAAAGTTCTTCCAGAATAGACCAAGCTGTAAGACTGATTCCTGGGCGCAAAACTAGAGGTTTATGAAGAATATTCTCATACATCTCAGCAACATCACGGCAGTAAAAAGGAGGCTAAAAAAAAAAAGTTATACATGAATTTGAAGCCCCATGCGACATTTTCTTTCACGTGTACGGACCAGTAAATAATTTTATAAGAAATACAAACTGCTAGCAGTGAAGAAGAAATCTACCTTTTCTTATGCACTGCTAACTTCTAATTGTCATCACCATTGCCAGATCTTTACACTTGAGAGCTTCCCCACCCAACTCTGCTGCTCCTAACATGTTCTCACAATCGTAAGTAGCCACAGATGCCATCCAGCTTCAAAGCCCCCATTGAACTTGCCTGAAAAGAACATGAGAGTGGAAAAACAAATCTGTCTCCCTATTTAAGGTCCTATGGGAAGAGATAAAACTCAAGAAAACTAACAGAACAGATTGTTACTGGAGTGATGACATATGAGTAGAAGCAGCATAGTAACACTTTTTGTTTTAATGCTGCATCAAGCAGTGGAAAAGCTAGGAGAAATTCTGGGAGACCTAAGTAAAATAAAGTCTTTTAATTTTATTTATTCCAGTATTTGGCAAGATTTCACTTATAAGCTGGGAGTTTTTATTGGATATTATCACTGTTGAATCGGTTAACTCTCACATTCCCTCAAAGTGATGACTACTTGTCTTCATTGATGTCCAGCAGTTCACTGGAAAGCAAAATCTTAGACATCAAGAGGCAACGCAAAATCCAAAAGAGAAAAAACAGGTGCTATGTTAAGTATAAGACAAACTGTTCATCCATTTAAGTTGAGTATTTCAATATTTTGCAAAAGTTAGCATCTTTAACAACACTCCAGGGTTACATCACGTAAAGGGGGAGGAGCAGGGGAAGCAACCCCTGTCCCCCCACATATTAAGTACGTACCAGCCCATAAAGCATTTCATAAAGAACTGCACCAAGGCACCACCAGTCTACTGTGTTGTCATAGGGCTGCTTTTTAATGACTTCTGGTGCAAGATACTAAAATTAAAAAAAAAAAAAAAAAAAGTATTTTAGAGCATTAGGCTAGCAAGAATAAAACCTAGGTTTTAGTCACATCACAATAAACACCTTCAGGAAAAGTTGCTTCATAGCAATTGTAAGACTGCTAAGTATTTATCTTGTCCTTCAATAAACCTGGCAAATACTTCGTCACCATCTGGTCATTTACCAAGTAGGACAGCTGTTTTCCCAACTGAAACAATAGATCCTACACATTATTGTTTTGCCAAACTACTTTGCCACCTCTATTAAGAAACTTGTTTTACATTTCAGATAGGTTGCTGCACTGTTGCAGAGGCAACATCTCTCAGCAAGCTGGCTACTAGCCATGCCTATTCTGCCATCCTCAGCTGGAATGTTCCCCATCCAGTACATAAAAATGAAAGGAGGTCTTAATTCTGCTTTAAATCCATTGTTATTGAAAAATGGTATGACCAATAGAGTTTCACAGTAAATCTCAATGAGGGCATGAGTTGCGAGTTGCTAAATTAGAGATTCTTGTCAAACAGGTATCACTTGACTGATCTGTGTTAAACATCCGATACCACCGAACACTGAATGACAACGCTAACTGGTTTCGATCTGCCTTGCAAGACATCTATTCAGCATCTCAGAGCTTACTAACACTACCGCACGAGGACAGCCACTTCATAATATGAGACTGTTGTTTGTGAATATGTAATATAAAATTACTATGGCTGGATCATCATCATCTCAGTCCTCATCTACAGCACACACAGTTTCTAACCTCTCAAAACAAGAGGATGCTCACTTCTATCACTTTAGTATTCAAATTCTGAAATTTCATCTACAAATAGATGATAGCATTGTCAGACAAGGCACAGACTTAAACTCACAGTTTAATTACATCAATCTTTCTCAAGCTTTCTGTATGTGAGTGCCCTGTAACTCATTTGTCTATAGATGACGCTGCAAAAGCATGAAAAGCAGCTGAAGTATTTTGAACTCAACTACTTTTTCTAATCTTTCACAAACTCCTTTGAGCTTTTTAGGTGTTGGAACTCACCAAGTGATTCACCTCAGTTTTTAGAACCACTGAGAAGATCATTACACTTTTAGCAGGATCATGAAAGATTTTAATTTAAATCTTGGATTAGAGAGGTTAATACACAACTGCTATGTTTAGTCTTGGCATTTTTAAGAACTCATATGAAGCAACAGCATTAGCATCCCCTTATGTTGCAATTCGTGCAAGTCCAAGGTAAGTGTGAAGACTAAACCTCTGAACATGGGAAAAAACCCACAGATTTTCTCAAACAGATCCAGAGTTACCAGTGTTCCCTATATAGTCCTTTGAACTTTCCAAAATATTCAACAAATATTGTTTCAGCTCACATTTACCACTCAGCTTTACGGATTCCTACTCTAATCATAACTAGGATAAGCTGTCACATGTTGTCACCTGCCTTTTTTTTTTGAGTTCAAATGTTTCAGCTACATACTACTCCTCACTCATCCTTCCCTGCCTTCAAAGGCATTTTCCGTAAAGTACGTTTATCAACTTATCAAAGCCACTAATCCTGGCATTTCAGTGAATCCCTCATATGTGTTCAAGACTTCCAGATTCTGAGTTTTCCAGCCTAGTTTTCTTACTAAAAAGAGACAGAGTTGAATAAACTCAGTCAACAAGTTGAGTTTCATGCATATGCAAAATTTGCTCAAGACTCACATGTATTAAGTCCTTATAAACTTACTAAAAAATCAGTGGCAGAATATGGTAAGTAGATTCATACTGGCTAATCTGTTGCAGCTGTTACACAAGCTAACTGTCCCGTGTCTAGCCAGCAGTTAGGAGACATGGGAGGAACAGAATGTTTGAAAAGGGCTGGAAAAAAGGAGGAAGGAAGAGATGAGTTATGGGGATGTGGGTAGTAAGTAGGAGACACTGTGTATTAGTAAAAAGGACAAAGAACAGATCTGCAGGAAGCTTGTCTTTCGTTTGGTTTGGTTTCATGGAAGAGCTTGTTCAAAGAATGCAAATCTCCAACAGTACAAAATGGAATATTTGATCTTCCAGTTACACAAGTATTAATAATAAACAGTCATTAATTACTAGTCAAAAAACCACAAAAGTTGTCAACATACTTCTGGTGTCCCACAAAAAGTTGCAGTGGTATCAGAACTTGCAATCCCTTCTTTACAAAGTCCAAAGTCTGTCAACACAACATGACCCTGTTTAAGAAAGAGTGGTATTTTAAAAACAAAACATGGTCAGTGTGTGGATACACGTAAATGTCAATTTTGTGAGAGAACACAAAAACCCAATAATGTTGCATACTTACTAGTGAATCTAGGAGAATGTTTTCTGGTTTTAAATCCCTGTTCAAAAAAAAAAATTCTATTAATTGAAAACAGCAGTCACACAAGAGCTTTAGAGGCAAGGACTTTTATTCTTCAGCTGAAAGCTTCAAGTTTTGGTGAAATTGTTATGTTCGAGTTTCCCATAAGATGACTTTGTGTCGTGGTTTTTATTCAGTAATTTGTCCTATTTTGAACTTCTGCAGGACAAGGATACATTTCAGAAACTTACCTGTACACTATATTTATGGAGTGTAAGTAGCCCAGTGCACTGGCTATTTCAGCAGCATAAAATCTGGCTCTGTGCTCAGGAAAGGAACGTTCTCTTTGTAAGTGAAAGAACAGCTGTAAATATGCAAATAGTAAATAAGAACATTACACACAAAAAACCAGGTTAATAACGTGTAATTTTAACAGTAAAAAGTAATTTTATTTAGCTATCCACTTTTTTTAAAAAATGCAAAATTAAATCTAATTGGTTTTGCTGCATGACTTTGTCATCCTTTACTCACTTCCTTTCCTCTCTTTTGTAGCTCAGAAATGGATAGGTAACTCAAACACATAAAAACATTCCCCTAAAACCAGGACTAGTCAGAAGGAACCAGAGTAAACCACTAAGCTGTGAACAGAGATTGGCAAGATAGCCTCCTAACAGAATATAAACTGGTGTCAAATACGTAATCTTCCATTTCTGCATAGGCTTGCATTCAAAGTTTTGTATGTAAATATCTATATAATTGTATTCTGAAATCATCTAGACGTAGATCACTTCAGGAGATGTATATTCCAAGCTGATCCACAAATTCTCTCAACTACAGAGAGCTGTCTGGCTTCAAATAATTTGAGTAGATACAGAAGTCTAGCCAAAGATTAAATCATAAACATACAGATGAAACTATACTACCCATTCAACTTCTAAAAACTTTAATAAAACAGAAATTTTCTTTTTTCTGCCTACAAAGTTTGGGAAAAAAAAATATAAAGCCACCAAAGCTTTCCAAGCACTTCATTCAAATTTGAAAGCTGTTTTGAACTGTATTTTAGGTTGCCTGGAAGAATGCCAAATAACATTGCGGCCAGGAATTCAGAGCAGAGCAAACTAGGAGTTTGCTAATACCATCTAAATAAGATGACAGTACATTAGACAAGAGAAAGGCCTATCTTGTCCCAACTCTGACCCTTAAAGGAGTCATGCCAGCCCTACGAGCACCATAAATACTGGCAGTAGGCCATATGAATATAAACTAATGTATACCCCAGTTCATATCTCATCCTGGTTTATTCAGCATACTTTATAGTTGTCTGTGTACATCCAGGTGCAGTGACATAATAGGAAACCTTAAGATATTGCCAAAACAAACTATTTAAATTCTAACCCTTCTCCTGTGCTCTTTCAGCTACCAGAGTTTTATCATCAAAACCAGTATCCTGTCTCATCCTTCTTTCCTGTTCTGCTTTAAGCACCTGTAAGACCTTCTGAAATGTGTACATTTTATACCAATAAATTACCAAATTGAAAACACAGCAAGTGACAAGACATACAGATCTTCTTTAAAGCATGTATGTTGGAGAGTTCCTTTCATACAATAATTTTTCACTACACTGTTTTCTTCAATCACAACTAATTTCCTAGACAGGTCCAGGTGTTATTAGTCTACAAGGCCCTTGATTTTCCACAGAACCTTTTGAAGGAACAGAAGCAACATTTTATACCCTTCTCATGTGTACTGGCTATTCAACCAGTTTATACATGAGTTTCTTGAGCACTCCTGGAAGTACCGGGTGCTTTGAAGAGCAGCAGGTCCCTAGCTGAAGACAAACTGCTCCAGAAGTACATTCAAACATATAGACTTCCTCCGTTTCTTTCACAAGTTCACCCCACCCCCACCCCAGTTCCTTAATGGCTCCTCAGATTCAATAGCATAGCTTCAAGGCAAAGAATCCTGAGGATAAGGCTATTTGGCAAGAAGTAATTAGACCACGCAAAGCTACCGAATAATCCCAAGGTTCCCAATAGTATCAATGTAGTAAATTCAGTTGCCAGTTTCCTTCTTTCTGCTTTCGAAATACTAGTGTCTCAGCTAATGCAGATACAAAAGACAGTTTTACATAGTGAAAAACATCAACATAAGATTAATTCTTAATAAAGGTACATTTATGTAACTGTAAAATACTGTATTTGTATCTGACAATCATGAATAAATTTGGGATTAAAGTTGTCGATGAGAAGAGGAACAGGGTCCATATAGCTACAGAAGTCTGTAGTAACAGCAGATAATAATAGATTTTCAAAATTGGGAGAATACTGATCACAGCCCATTGTAAAAGATCATGTCGTTCCTCCCACCTAGAACTAGCACAATAGAGAGACTCAAATCCAAACACAACCACCACATACCTCTCCTCCATTAACAAAATCCAGGACAAAGTAAAGCTTTTCCGTTGTTTGGAACGAGTAATGTAATCCAACCAAAAATGGATGTTTCACATTTTTCAAAAGCACATTACGCTCAGCCATAATATGTTTTTGCTATAAGGAAGTAAAAGATCAATACGTAAACAGGAATGATTTTGTAATTAAGGGAAAAAGGAAGGGAGGTGGGTGGAGAAAGAATATTTCTTTTCACCTCTTTCCTATTAAGAACAATTTTTTTCTGCAGCACTTTGACAGCATAGTATTTCCCATCCAGTTTTCGTTTTGCAAGAAGAACCTGTGAAATTCAAAACAAATGAAGAAATGTAATTGTGGCAGTTCACATTCTATTAGCAATATTTTCATAGTTTCAGCATAATTGGAAAGTATTCATGCTATTTTTACACAATAAAGTTTGTTTGCTTTTAATATAGTCAATCAGCAATATAATTACCAATAGAGCAAGCTTACAGTTCAGTAAAATCTGTCATGATAGTGATGATACGAAAGACTGAATTATAACATTTATTCCAGGACCTGCTGAATCTCTATCAAGATCAATTTCAGCTGGTTTTGTAAGTTTTAAAGATAATTTAATGGAAAACAACAAGTTGAAAAATAACCTGAAACCAAAGATTTCAAGATGGATTCTCTATTGCACCTTTGCAGAATATCAATATTTAAGTCACTTTTCAGTGGGCTGTTGCTCACACTGCTCCATCGCATTAGGGGTTTGAGAAAACAGTCCATGCCAACAAAGGGAAATGCATGATTCGTACTCTAGCTGCTGCATAAGCACAGGGGTACCTCCCTTCCTCTCTGGGGGAAACAGAGGATCCCTATTGCTCTTAACGAGAAAGGGAACTCCCTTTTCTTACTCCCAACAAGCAATGGAGGCAGCCAACTGCCACACCACAGAAAAAATGGCAGGGCTATAAAGAAGCAGGAACAGGGATCCAATACGACAGTTTATATGCCACCCTAGACGGATAGATACCACTTCCAAAGCCTCTGGCCAAGTCTAGTCAACAGTCAGTATGCGCAACACACACCAGCTACCATTCTTGCACCAGGTTAAGACACAGTAAAAAGAAAACTCACCTTGCCAAAGCTGCCTTTCCCAATAACTTTCAGGAAATCAAAGTCTGTTGGTTTAGCACTGAAAGATATTCAGGAAGGAGACAGGTCATCTAGGTAGAAACTACAAGCTTTATAGCTGTACAGCAGTCTAGTGTAGCACTTGAGTTGTAATGTGAGAAGAACCGTCTGTCAGCACCCTCCTTTATTCATTATTCTACTCAACACCTAGACTTCTGCAGACCTTCCCTTGGAGGAGACGACAATTCCTCTTCATTTTGGAATTCCGTTTTCCTCCAAGTCAAGTGTTCAAGTTGCATCCTTTGAGTTTATTTTATTTTGTAAGTCTAAGAAGTAAAGGAGGAGCAAGACTGTTCTTTTATTCTCTATAGTCTAGTTTCTTGTCATTTTTAAGTCTCCATTTCCCCATGACTTTTCCTGGAGCTTATTTCTCATTTCCAGAGGGCCAAATGGATTCTCAAGCTTACATGAGGGAAGGAAGGACCAAGTCTATTTATTCTCTCTTTGCCTATCCCATCCTTCCCTCCATCCATTCCTCTCTCATTTTAAATTACAGTGAGAGGAATGAGGCCCTAACAGCTTCCTCTTCCGTGTGTGTATGTATGAACTCACTCTCAGTTTTTCCACTTCCCACATCACCACTCCTTTGAGTTATTTCCCAGGATTCCCTCACTTTTTCCTAAATACACAATGCAGAGATAATTTTGTCAGCAAAACAATTATCCATGTTTTCAAATTCTAAAACAATAGTTACATCACCATACACCTCTCCATTATTGCCCCTGAAGGGAAGTACTCTTAAATTTAATTCCTTACTGCAATCTACTAAGCATTTCCTCCTGTTAACCCAGAACAAATCTGTGAGGAAAGCAAAACCAAAATAGCAGTCATCTCCTAGATGAGGAAAGCACAGATTCACATAGAACTGAGAACAGAAACTCTACAGAAGACACTAAACAGAGAAGCAAGTTATGACTGCAGCAACTAGGTCTGTAGTATCAACAGGGCAAGCTGCTCCTTTGCCATGCATTAAAACAAACTTGTTTTCAGAAACCATTCACATTCTTAACAGTTTTGCGACCACTCCCAAGACAGAGAGGTCACCTTTGCTGTAGGATCCTTAAGTAAAAGGATAGCAGACTAAAATCTGAAGGTGAAAAGGAAAACATGTTTTAAAAGTGGTTATTTATGTAGCACAGGATTCAATGTTTTGCTTCCTCCTGAGCAGTGCAAATCAACAAATAAAAGCATATATCCAAAGAACTTTTCATACTGTTAACAATTACAGTAAGTCTAATTTTTCAGGTTTTAAAATTAATTTTAATAACATTTCATTAAAGTAAAAATTTTTACAGTAAATTCAATTACATTTTAATTCAATTTAATTGAAACCTACTGAGGATTTCCAGATGGTCCCAAGTTGATATTCTGTGAGGTAGAGTTTAACTGTTGGGAGAGATAGAGGTTTATTTTTAGTATTTTTTTAATTTATTCTCTCTTATATTTCAACCAATATTAACTTCAAAATACTCTACTAATTTGCTCAATCCATACCTTCACACTTGTCACATTAGATTTTTAAAGAGATCTAACATCCAGATTGGGAATTTAACAAGTTGAAATATCTGGCCATCATCACCTTGTGAACAAATTATTTCTATGTACATCATATTCAAGGATGAAGGTAATAAAATAATTGTGTACAGACACAGAGGACAAGATTAGGAACAAAAAGTTAAGAGCGTTTCAACAAACAACTTGTTCCTCATCTGCAACTTAACCCTTTCTGTATTTGCTCTAGGAATATGTTTTTACCTTTTATTCTAAATTTTCCAAGATCTTATCAATAAAATAATTTTAAACCTACACTGTTTATGGAAGAGTAATTAATGAAAGACACGGAGCTTTAAAAAAAAAAAGTGAACTTTCTCCCCCCCCCCCAAGAAAAACATTACCAACCTTTTCTATCTTGACATTAAAGGTTAACTAACTCAATTCCAGGAATAGCATGAATCTTACCAGTACACACCCAGATAGAATTTGTAAATTACAGGGAGAGAAGGAAACCACTGTCATTTAGGCAATTTTCTCCATTTTGTTTTTGATTAAAAAAAAAAAAGCAGTATTTGTACCCTCATTGTGGTTTTGGGCTTTATCAGAGAAGGATAAACTGTATTCAAATACAAGTTACCTAGGGACAGGCTAGCAGGCATCACAAAACCAGTGCTCCTACAGAAGCAGAGAATGCCCTGACAGCAGCACTGAATGCTACTATTCACTAATAAGAGCCAATCACACAATGGTACCAGACAGTTTTTAAAAAGCTACTATATAAGTTTTAAGATTTTCCTTTTCTTGAGGGCTTGTTTTTGTTCCTTATTCTTCATCTTCATCGCTTACAGTAACTATGAGAAGGTGAATTTATGAGAAGGTGAATTTTCTATCAAAAAGTGTGGTCCAGGCCACTATGCATTAACTCTCTTCCTAGTTTGGAATTTCTTGTGGCATGACACATCATTAATTTTCCACAGAAGGTTTAGATCATTCCACATTACTTAAAATACCTTTCAAAGCAGGAGGAAACTGATATTTTAAATTAGAATTTTGCTGCATGTTCACAGTGCTGTCAAGCACTTTAAAAAAAAAAAAAAAGGCAGCAAAGACTGGCATCTTTGGAAGGGAAACTTTCAGAAAACACTAAATCTGCTGTGGATCACACACAAACCAAAATGACAACTCTTGCATCATTAACAGGGGCTGAATAAGAAGAGAAGTACTAAGATCACATCTGTATGCCAAGAAGCGAGCCATAGAGAAAACAAGCTTAAATATGGCACTTCTGCCTTCCTAGAAATACTCCTTTTTTTCAAACAGCACTGTTTCTGGAGGCTGTAAATTAATTTTCACAGAATCCATCTAGCTATGTAGTGGCTTTTGTGACAAAAGAGGCTTCAGACCTCACACAGTGTTGTATGTGAAATGAAATCAAATCCAGCCATGCTCCTGAGTGACTTTTAAAAAGACTGCCTTTTTTCCCCCCAAGAAAATTATATTTCTCCCCCTATTTAAAAAAAACAACACACAAGCAAACAAAAAGACAATTAAACATTCAGTCTCCCCTGCTCCTTACCAGATGTTCTTAGCAAGAATCTTTTAAGAGATTGCAAAAACTGTGACAGCTAAGCCATGACTAAAGCTGTGTTTCTTTAACCCATGTAGCAAGTGGGGAAGAAGCAAGGCAAAGCTAGCAATCACTTTTACCCCTCTCTGCAGTTCGCATCTCACAGAAAAATATCTTACAGCCCACAGTGGAACACATTTGTTTAAAGGAGCATGGAGGGGATTTATTGTGAAACCAACCAGTAATTTTCAGTAAATAATATACCTAAGATTGCCCTCAAGTAATTAAAATTTAGAAGACTGTCCTACTTCCGTTTTATTACCTTCCGACTGCTCCTTTCATCTTCATCTTCAGATGGATCCGACTGGTGTTTTGGGTTATCCATCTGAAGAAATGCTCTGACATCTGGGCTAGAAACACAATTAACTTCATTAGCACACCGACAACCTGCGTGATTTTCAGCCATAACCATAGGAAGCATAGGATTAAACAGCAGTGTACAGAGGAGTTACTCGTCACAAAGTTTTATACTTAAGTTCTGGTAATTAAGGACTGTGTACAAGAAATACTTTTGTAGCAACATAATTCAACTGCTGAATGTGTTACATACAGTACATAAAATTTTCCACTTGCAAAAAACTGGTATGTTGAAGTATATGCATATGAAGATTTCATACGGAAATGCTCTGCAGAACTGCATTAAAAGGTAATTGTTAGAAGAAAGAACACTACCCAAAGCAAGAGTTCTAACTGGCTAGCAACCACCAGGAAACCAACTTTCTTTCAAAAAATGGAAGAGTTTAAAAACCATTTTTAGTTTTCCAAAATTAATGAAACAGTCCAACACAATACAGAAAGTGATAACACAGTCTGTATCCCAAAGAGAGATGCCTGCCCCAAGAGGTACATGGTTGTCACCTTCCTGTCCCCATTCGCTTCAAAGTGGAAGATGGCGATTTTGTATTCAGACTGCATTCTAGCTGGGCACTGACAAGCCAACGTAAGAAACCCCTTGCAGTCAGCTGCAGGACACAAACACTGTCCTTCAAGAACTGGCAAGAGAGACTACAAGCTTCCCACAGTACCTAAGGAGATGCATTTTAAACTTCACCATTGGTTTCTAGCTTCTGTCTTGGCGGGGACTGAGGGAGGAGGACTGGGAGAAAGGAGGGAAAAGTAAGAGAATTCTGAGAACCCGTTCCCAGGAAGCGAGGCTTAGCCAACAGTAAGTTCAAAAGAATGTAACATCTTTCTTAACCACAGCACAGTGAGGGAGTACAGAATAATGTAATGTGAGGCAAAATTAATTCCTAAACAAATGGGTATCACGTATAGCCTATATACCACTTGAAGAGATGACTTGACTCCTTCAAGTTCCTTCAGTTCACTAAAAGGCAACTTGTTTCTCAAGGAAGAAATCTTAGCTAAATTTCAGAGACAGAAGTTCTTCGAGAAGGTCTCAGGGCAGCCACTGATAGGAAAGTCTGCCTGAGCCATTCAGTACAAGAACAGCACTAACTTACTATGGAGCTGCTCTTTTATCTTATTCCTAGTATATATTAAATAGGGTAGTTTTATAGAAGCAGCAGATACGCTTGGTTTGCTATTTCCAATCCGTTTCACCCTCCACGCCTCTGTAAAGTGAGGATCAGAAGCAAGAGATGAGCTGTTTCTGACATTACTCCAGCTCCTGTATTTCACATTAGCATTACTGAACCTAATTCATGTCCTGTGCTATCTGAGGCTCCTGGTCTCCATCGCTTACATTCTGTATTCCTAAACCCTATTTGAAATCTGTTTCAGTTACCTTCAGCCTTTCAGGTTTAAAATACAGCAACAAGACTGAACACATCATTTCCCACCATCGTTTCAGTTTAATTCTTCCCATCTTATACGAACTCCAAATTCTGATCTATTTCAGGGTCTGTCTTGTATCCTATCTCAGGAAGAAAAAAACCACTATGGCTTGAATACTGTAGTAATATTGGCTCATCATGCAACAATTTAAGTTTCAGAATCTTTGGATATCGTCACATCAAGAATAAAAAGTTATGGTTAATGCTTTTCACTAAACAGAACAACAAAACCAGACCTTAACTACCTTTCAGCGTCAATTATTCTGGACAACTGGCTGATTAAATAGAGCATGTTTTAATACATCTCAAATAGTTACTATAGTAACTTTGTCCATGACTGAATTCCCAACAAAAAAAAAAATCTGTTCACAGTAAAAGGCTGCTGTACAGTTGCAGAGGATTCAACGATCTCCACAATACATGGCAGCCAGAAGCTAACTGATCAATGTTACGTTGTTCACATTTGTAATTTTAAAAGCACTGCAAAGAAGTAGTGATTAAAAAGTTTAAATGTATGAACTTTTCAGCCAAGATTGCAGCATGTTATGCAAAACGTTGTATAGATTGGTAGGATGTCTATGCTACGTTAGCTCACATGTATTAACTCAATGTATTTTAAAATAAACTGAAACTATTCCTAAAATAACCTCACATATCAAATTAAAAGGATCAAGAAAACAGTTTAAGAAGGGATGCTTGACATACGTTGTACCTATACTACCAGCAAAACTTGGTTTTGTCTGGATTTTTATGATTGACTGGATAAGTTTAGTTTATGGATTATCTCTGAAATCCACAAAGGGGTGTCAAACTCTGCCTAAATATGGTTTCTTCTGTGATACTTGTTCTGCATTACCCTTTCTGCAGAAACATATGAAGCCACTCAGAAATTTTGGACATACCCACAAATATGAGCAAGCCCAAAAAGTTACACAAATTTTGAAGCAAAACGGTAAAATTAATTGCCAGCGACAGAACCTTAACATTTAAGACACACTTTATTTAAATAACGGTTCCCAGCTCCTCCATCTTCTCCACACACTTTAAAAAAAAAAACAAAAAAAAACCACAAAAAAAGAAACCCAAAAACCAAAACCAAACCACTGCTATCTTTCTTACAGAAAGCAAAGGCTCAAAAAGCCGTAACAGACCATAAGATTTCAAAAGAGCACAACTAATGTAATGCAAGATTTGCTTTCCCCAACATGGACTGCAAGATCTTACAATCCAGGGGTTTCATATTCATTTTTATATTCATCAGACTTGGAAACGAGAAAAATCTAGTCACTCCGATCTTCTTCTAGGGAACAAATGCAGAACCCCGCTTCTCACTTAAGGAACTGATGAGTCATTTTCCCAGAGAGGTTGCAGGGTATTGTCATCCTGGAGTTCTTCAAGTGTTATGCAAATGTTCTCATTTTCATTAAGGAGCTACTTTGGACTATTTAAAAATAACTACGTTACATCTTTAATGCATTCTCTATTATACATTTGGATTCAAACAGATTTTCTTTGGACATGTTCTGATAGACAACTAAATGCACTACTTTTTCAGTGAAGACCTACATTTGAGGGGGCGAGCAGCCCAATTTGAATAGTTGCTCAGTGATTTAGGGGGCCTCACAGTGCTCCCAAGCAACAAACCCCCAGCTCCCATTCAGTCAGCAAGGGGGACGCATTATCAGATCTCCATCCCTTCTGCCTTTTTTTTTTGTGTTGGGTTTTTTGTTTTGTTCTGGTTTTTTTGCAACATCCACGTTCTATCCATGACACGAGTTCTCTATCAAATACAGTTAGCTGTAAATGCAGCTTGAAGCTAGTCCACTTAACTCCCAATTTGGTCCAAGCCAATGATCCATCTCACCCCGCATACGATGTGACAGCAATTGCAGGAAAATCCTTATCAACCGTTACAGGGGCTCTCTAATCACTCTAACACACTTTAGGTTTTTGTTGGGTTTATTATTGAGCAGAAAGGTTTGGCTGCATGTTTCAGAGAATAATGTAAATATTACCATTTTGGACACACTGAATCTGATGTTTGTGCTTTTCAGTTCAGATGTTCAGGTGCCTTCCCCTCCAGAAACGAGGACATCACCATGAACCATCCTTAAGCTTTTTAGTGAAACAGTTTTCCTAGGTAGGACTTAAAAATATGACATCCTGGTACTGGTTTTAATGCTTAAGAAATGTAGTGGAATGTGGACCTCCTTAAAGTTCTGTGAGAATGCATAACTCACTTTACATAAGTTATTTTACCTAATATCAAGTTTAATTAGCACATTAAAGCAAAACAGTCTATGAAAGCAAGGATGTGGACTATCTGTGAAGGCTCAGTCACCATATATTCCTTGAGTAGTTTCTAGCAGATTTTACAAAAACCAAACAAAAACACAACCCAGCAAAGTCATAAAGTTTTAGTATTTCTTCACTAATAACATTAATTGGCACGTAGAAAAGGCGACAGATTATGTAATTATTAATATGATTTGTTGCAATGGAGCACTGCAAAAAGTAAAAGCACACTCCAGAAAAACAAAGTACCTTGCAGTTATTAGAAGAACAACAACATAGGAATTACCATAAAATTAAATGCTTTTGCACGGAATTGTGAATTAAAGGCTTGCTTCTTCTCCCACAAAAATCGCTGTTACTTTAAGGCTGGGGAGGAGGAGAACAGCACAAGACAAACTTCAGTCTCTATTTTGGTTTTATTGTAGAAGTATGCCTAATAAGCTTTTTATTTAACAAATTTCCAACAGCACCACACACTTTATAAGACCTATTTCTTAATACTGGTTTAAGTTCCAGACAGGCTAAGTGCCGTATTAAAGAACACAGATTCAGCTACAGATGCATTTGAACATAAAGCAATTTTAAAAGCTCACAAAAATTTAAGAAGGCAAGTGGATTTGAGATTTGGTTGGTTTTGTTTTTTTTTTAAGCGCACAACTTTGTGATGTGCACTGAAAAAAGAAAAGTACCACTTTACCTTTGGAAAACAAATATAGTATGTTTTGACACAAAATATTTTGTACTTGAACATACTGACAACCAAACAGGCTGAGGGGAGGGGATTGTGCTGAATGAAGCCAGTGTCCCTTCCTAATGTAACAAAACAGATTAGCTTTCAATAATTAGTTATTTTAAAGTGCTTCCTGTTCTTTCCCAGAGAAGAACATGACTATGATCACAAACCTCACAGTATTTGTTCTAGTGGAAAACTATTCCACCGTAAAGACTTTGTTTCAAAATTTTTTCCACTTTCTTCCTTTCCACAAGGAAGTATATCTAAAATGCTCCTTTTTTTTCCAAAAATGAAAGGAAGTACATATTTCAGGTTAACAGGACATTAAATAGTTCTTTTGTTGGGAAAAAAAATAACCTGATTGCACACTGCAAACTGCAGCAATAGTCTGTCAAGGGATTTTTTTTTTTCCTGTGGGAAACAGGCAGTTTCACAGGTCGTAGATATAGGCTAATTAAACAAAGCATATGTATTAAAGACATTTACTCAACACTAAAGCCAAACATAGAGCTTTACCATTTTACTAGTTCAAGTAACGCAGAAAGTTGCATGGATTTAGTTTCAACTGATTAGGTATAGACTTAAAGAAAAACACAGTTTACCCCCCAAATCGGTTCACAGACAGAAGCGCTATCCTCCATATTTAACTGGAGCTGACTCTAGCACATCCCTGTCTCTCATTCATCACCATCCCACTGATGGAGGTTAACACGCCTGCAGTTCTTCTGACAGAACAGTTTACGTGCAAGCTTATTCATTTGCTTTAGGCAGGTCAGCTTCGTTATCCCAAACCACCTAAGCAAGCTGATTAAGCTACTTGGTTAACAGGCTTAAAACAAGTTCTGGAGTAGACACATGAACTGCTCTAACAAAAGGATGCAGGCAGTGACTTGCTCCCAGGACAATGTAGTAGCAAGTGACAGTAGTTTTCAAACGGTAAAGCTATCGGCAGAACAAACACCTGCCCTACAGCAACAGAGTTCACACTGGGATCTGCGACTCTTGAACTAAAATCAGTTAACTGCCCGCAAGTTTATTTGTAGATCAGTTTTCAGAAAACAAAGACATCTTTATACTGCTCATCAGTCTGTAGATTTTTCTTGAAGGAATGAACAGCCATATTAAAGTTTATTTATTATGCTTAAGAGCACTGAACAGGTAGAATACATTTTCTACTTAAAGTACTTAATTTGCAATTTTGTATTTGACAACTCGTCTTTTAAATAGTCCTTGTAAAACAGAAATGAAACTACTTACTGGTTGCATAGCTCTGGCTGTCTAACTAAATTCTGAATGAATTCATTCAGTCCTGCTCTTCTCTGTTTAATGAAATCTGGAAGAAAAAAAAAAAGAGATAGATTTATCAGAATGATCAGTCAGCTGGTGAAAAAGACTTATTCTCAAATTTTTTTCATTTTTTTACAGACTTGAACAGCAGTTAAAAAGAGACTGGTTCATGATTGTTTCTGTATATGAAAGTCACAAGCTTAGAACATTCAAGTGAGGTGAAAGAACAAATTTCAATTTCTCTGCTATGCTACCTGAAAACGGAGAAAGCCAGGTGGATTAAAAGTGCACTGTAGTGCTTCAAGAACAGCACGTAACCGCAGTGGGCTAACCTGTGCAGCCTTCATTGCACGGGTGGGCCCTTCAGGACATGATTCCACTCAGAAAAAAGCCACAGGCAAAACTTGACATCAGTTGTCCAAGTCAAGTTTTTACACGAACAGTCCCACCAAGCAGCATATTTCCATAATATATGTATGGCAGTGGGAAAGTTGCACAATTCATCCAGCCAGCAGGCAGTCAGATGTAACCATTAAAAATAACTAAATAAAATGCCTTTTTTCCCCTGTTTTGGACATCATCTCTAACGTAAAAAAAAAAAAAAACAAAAAAAAAACCTGCTCAGAATCTCCACCCTCACCCAAACTTTAACACACGTAACTTTTCTTTAGCAATATGGAAAGATACACAAGGGACCTGAAATTGAGAGCGAGCTTTAACATGAAATAAAGTGCAAAACAGAATAATCTTGTCTTTCGTTACTCATATCACCAATAATTTGTATGGAAAAAGAATATTTAACTTGTGTATTAACTTTCAAGGTATTCCAATGACTCTTTCTGTCACATATAGATTACTGACAACTATTAAAATTTCAAATTAAAATTAAATTTCAATTAAAAGCTGTATTTCAAATATTAAGAAAAATGTTAATATTGTTTCAGGTATGTAATCCCTAAATCCCTGTTAGGGTATTTAATAATCCCAAATTACTGACATCAAACAGGAAGGTAAATCTGCATAAAGATGTTAAGGGAGTCACCAACATCAGCAGTTTCAGTATGGCGGATGTATAACGCAATCAGCCACGCAAAACCTTCAGAGCTATCCATGTTGTTGCAGATAAAACACCTGCATCACATCAGCTCAAATGTATTCTGTAATTTTCTAGTTCTGTGTTCTGGCTGGTTTCTATGATTTCCCTGTGCCCCATTTTTGAAGTTAAAACAAGATTAATTTTGAAATAACCTAAGTGACAATAAAAATGGAGCGTTTAAATGACAATGTATGTTATGACAGTATTTTTGGTAGACTTTGGGAAAAGGGATATGTAAGTTTCACTCTGCTGCGCTTACGACTCCAATATAATAGTACAATGCTGCACACCCAAGCGTGGATTGACAGAAGTAAAATACCTTTTCACCATTTGTGAAGTATGTGACCTATTCCAGAAGCCAGTAGAAACATTACATCAAAGCTTCAATAAATCAATGTTAAGATAAAGAATTATTTAAATAAGCATCATGGCTCCATCTCCACCCTGCCCCCCAGCAAGAAACATCTTGAGAACTATTTAATTTCTCATGCTTCAAGGATTTCAGGATAGTTCACAGAAAATTAAAACAAGTCTGAGGACGTTTTTTTTACATATATAGTTTTAATAAAGTTTTAGGGTTTTTTTTTCCCCATTTAAACTCCAGTTTCCTAAATCTGACTCCAAGAAATCCACCTGTGCATTTGGCTGTACAGCAGACCAGACTCCATGACATTACTAGGTCTTCAGCCAGCTCTGAAAACCCCAAGGTCAGAGAAAAGCAAAGAAACCAAACCAAACCAAGTCATCCATGTATACATAATACATGTAGAACTTTTGGCAATCATTTACATCTTCATCAGAAGAGGACATCAGAGCCTAGATACCTGCATTTGATTATTTTAATAATAAAAGGGAGTTTTATGTCAGGGTCCAGATGATTAACTGTCACTGACAAAAATTAATTTGTTTGAAACAACTCTCAAAAACCCAAAACAACACATCCCAATAAGTTCAACATATTTGGATCCATTTGTTCTTCAGCAAAGGAGAAAATGACATGCTTGAAACAGGTGCAGGAGAAGGTGAAACTACAAACACAGTCTGATCATATCAGCAAGCCAGGGGAGGGTGGGAGGTTCCCAACGACCATCAGGAAAACCCTTAAGGAAAAATGGCCTGAAACAAAAGGAATAAACACACAGAACAAATGCCTGGCCTCCCATTTGCCTTTTTATTTATTCATCAGTGGTACCACCTAGGTTAATTCAATGCACTTTACAAGTGATTTTCCATTAGTATTTTGATGTGGACAGAGCAAGCTTAATTGGGACCCATCACTGCTAACTGGATCACATCGGGTTCACATCAGACAGGCTTCTGTAAGTGGAACAACAGCAAGAGGTTCATTTTCATCTAAACTGTACAAGGAAGCACATTTAGATAGAGAGAGTTCAAAAGCCTTCGAAGATAAATCCTTTAGTTATTCAGTTTTTCGGGGGGAAGTCACACAGATGAAGCTTAAAATTTACTAGGTGTACATTTTAAAGAGTTTGGGTTTTGGCTCTTGCTTTTATAGAAGAGAGATTACACCTGACAGTTCAGAATCTCTCACAATCCTGAATATGGGAGGGTTGGGAGGAGCCTTCAGCGCAAGAGAGGCACTGGGCCACTAAGCCATACTTTGCTCAATATCACAAGGTAGAATACCTACCTACGCTAGTTCCTGTTCTTGACTGAAGCATGACTAAACTTTGGTTTAGTCACTGTTTTGAGGACTGGTATAAAGCTCATCTAAGATAGCTTCTTGTAGGCTGGAATAGATCAATTTTCATATAAAGAAACTGACAAAATGAGTAACAAGATGATAACTTACCGGGATCAAAATTATCTCCAAATATTCTTTTAGCTGGAATCTTCAGGTTCATGGTGGGAAATTGCTTCTTTAGCTGTAAACAAAACACGCACAATTGGATTGTGCTTAGACATCAAAGTACCTGGAAATAATTGCATTTTGTTTGTTTTCTGACAAACAGTTTGAACATCTGATTATTAGTAATTCTGCTCCTCTCTGCCACCTTCTCTACTCGTACACTTAAGGGAAAAAAGCAAACGCAAAACAACCTGTACTCAGCTTGTTTGCACCCCTCGCACCCTTTTCAATTCAAAGGCCATTTCGCTTTAGAAAGCTATGAACTATTGCAGCTATCTTCTGCAATATTGGCAAAATGGTTTTCCACTTGCCCGAGATTAACAAGTAGGCTAAAATGTTGGGTTTATTCTCCTCTTTACTTCCTTCCTCCATCAGTTCGCTATCTCTCTCATGTTTGTTTTTTTCTTGCCTGCTTACATAGGGATGTATGCACGAGGTTTAAGATGGGTTGGGGATACAGGCCTCCGGGCTTTGCCCAAACAACATTCTTAAAGCTTCAGAAACCACAGGTGGTCTACCCCTAAGTCAAAATTGTAAATAGATGAACAGCCTGTTTTACAATACTGCATTTAATAATTTGATTGTATTCCACACTTGATAAACTGACCAGAAGATCGTATACAACAGCACTGAATTTATCAAAAAAACTGACATGAGCCAAGCCTTGACTAGATTGGTTTCATCTTCAAGCGCTCCAGGAAGAGCAATCTTACTCTAACATCCTCTTCAAGAGAGTAGTTTTCTAATACAGTAGCTAGCAATTCTTCTTTCCTTAGAAACATCAGTATCCAGAGAAGCGGTGCTATCACAGTCCCTGGAAGTATTCAAAAAACATGTGGATGTGGTGCTTTAGGACATGGTTTAGAGGTGGACCAGGCAGTTAGGTTAACGGTTGGACTCGATCTCAGAGGTCCTTTCCAACCTTAATGATTCTATGATCTCTTCCAGTTAGCCACACAAAGTTCTCTTTGGTGTACTACACTATATGAATTACACTGAATAGAAACTGGACTAAATGTCCTCCTGGTTATGCTTCCCCAGGACCTCCACCTCTACACGTTAGAAAGACCAGTGATGAACAAACTTCAGCAGAGCAATCCTAATCTGAATAGCAAAAGATGTGGCAAAGGGAACAGGATCACCAACACTCACTCTGCAGGTATCAAAAAGGGGATACTTCGTTTTCACATCACCTGGAAGTCTATCCCAAGATGCAGGCAAAGCATAGTGTGGTGCATCTAGGCTGACTCCAGCTCAGACCTTTTAAGACATCTCCAAGCTCACTGCCTGCATTTGTAATAACATTGTCACACACTTCCCATAGGGGCAATGGAAGGGAAATGGAGGCACAGATAAGCAGCTGGTAATCTTTTCTTATGGGGATCACAGAAGAATTATTTCTTATTATTTGTTAAAGCAAAAGCTGTGTGCTCTAAACATGAAGAACTGGAGAAAAGTATGGACACAAGACACATAATAGACTGCACATCTGAGCAATTATTTGCCCCACTTGCCCACTATGTAAAAAGGGGCAAAATCGTCTTCTAGCAATGAACCCAAGAAATCCATACTTAGTTGCTGAAGAGGTCTGTTTTATTTGGACCACTGCCACAAAAATTGGCTATGAAACTGCAGGTAGCAATTTCCTTGACTGACTTACCAGAAAGTTTATATTAAGAAACAAGGATTTGTTCATTGCTTTCAGTACTTCAACGTAAAACATTTATTTTAAGAGAAATTTATCTATCTAGATGTTTTAAGTTTTGCAGTGATTTTTACCACCACGAATAAATGAACATTTTGGATGTTCTGACAACGAGTAAATTGGAAGTTTCTCTCATTACACTATGATCCCAACCAACAATAAAACAAAAGTGACAAATAAGTGGATTTCGAATTTGAAATTCAAACAAACCGAAGTTTAAAAAAACACCCTGCCATTTCCTTTAAACAAGCTCCTATGGTTACTGAATGTTGACTCAAACTCCTCCACGAGGGAATTAACTCAAATCATAATGCTGCAAACAACTGTTACTCTGTGCTATTTTGGCGTGATTTCATAGCTTGCCTTTTACTTACCGTATTGTAGAGTTTATCAAACTCTGCATACCGTCTGAAGACAAACCATTCATTTCTGCCAACTGAGACCAACACTTTGTAAACCTGTAGTAACAAAGATAAAGTTATTGCCAACAGCAAAGTTTAAGAAAACCTCCCAGGTTTAATCCTGTGGTGGAAATAAGAGCATGTTAGATGTATTGTGTAAATATACTTGTTGAGCTATGTATTTCTTACAGCTGTCACACAGACATCAACACAAATGATTAAAAGAACAATTAGAAGAGTCTGGTATTTTACAGAAATAGTTTTTGCTTACCTAGTGTTTAAGCTGATTTAATGGAGTTTCGTAAGTTAGTTCATATCCACAAGAACACCTGGCCATCAGTCTATAAAAATTTGCTATGAAATTTGTTAACAACTTGATAATCCATAATAAAGACTAACATTAAAGAAATAAAGCATTTAAATACTGAAGATTGCCTTCATCAAAACCTAAAGAGAAAGCACATATGGAAGGCAGTTATAAAGATAACTGTTCCTTGCAACATCCTGAATACATATTATTGTCAGGATCCTGGCAGATGACGTAATTGTTCAGGTTGGGAAAAAATGCTGCTGCAGCTGAAATACAGCACCAAGTTACACAATCCACAGCACTGGGATCCAGGGAGGCGTAGCTGGAACCTGCTGCACAGTTCTGGCCATTCAAATCCCAGGGCAGCAGAGGACTGCGGTAGCCAGACAGATTGTCAATCCCTGGCTTTATAAACCTAGTTGACAGCTGAGTGTCCAGCAGGCTTCTGTCTCTTATGCAACTAGTTGACCTTCCTTCTCCACCTTCTTGTGCTTCCAGAAGGAGCCTGGCTATTCCTTCAGGGGAGAGGATGGGCACAGCAAGGAAATGAGTGCAGAAGGCTGCTAATTCCTGACGTAGAAAACTGGACCGATGCCCCAGTCTCCCTTCTGTCCTGCAACAGCAGCTCACCTCTCTCTTTTTAACGCCCTCAGTGGAAGTGGCAGCTACCAACATCAGTTCCTTAGCCCGAGATTTGCATTCATGCTACGTTAACTGCTCAAATAAGCTGCTCTCAGTCTTCTCTGGGGAACACAGGAGGCTGGATAGCAGCATCCAGTAGGATGCCGATAAGACTCTACTTAGAAAACCAGCTTTCCCTTATACTGCTACACAAGCATTAGCATAAAACCTAGCTACTCACCTTCTAGAGCCTCCCTAGACTGTAAACAGCAAAAGCTTCAGCTGCAAAGACTTCAGTACTGTCCTCCTCAACTAGCTATCTTATACAGCAATCAAGTCCCACAAATAGTGCTCAAACACACATTTTCATTCCCCATGGTTGCATGGCAGATCAATGCCAACAAACTTAAGCAGCAGGCTATGGACAACTTCTTAAATCAGCAGGGCAAAATGCATAGACTGCAAAGCGCACAGGCAAGCAAAACTTAGGATGCAAGATGATATTTACCTCTTCGTCAACCTCAAAATTAAAAAAGTTTTGTTCTTGCAGTAGCTAGCTGTGGAACAATGACACAGTCAACATTTTTTTACACAAGAGAGCATAAAAAAAATATCCATATGAGGTCATCCATTTCACACCATCACCGAAGCTCTTGCATACCCAACGAAGTAGAAACTGCAAGTTCAACACCAACGGAAGCACTGAATGGTAAGAACACATATGATATCTACAAAGAATTTGGTAAAACCCAAAAACACAACATGTCTTTGGGCTTTATTACTACTATCAGCTACACCTATGTAATGATTTAGAGATATGTGCAATGCTTGTTTCTAGAAAGTCGGGGGGGGGAGGGGGGCAGAATCTAGCCTTACTTAGATAATAACCTTTTCAAATCTAATTACTCCTGAACCAAAACCAGTCTTAGAAAACTCCTAAAAAACAGATAAGATGCATCCACACCTTGTGATAGGTGGATAAATAATGCAAAACTTTGAGAAAGGAAAAAGGAAGAAAAAGAAACAGAATTCCTGAAAACATCAGAATCATCACCATAAACCACCTTCCCAGATGCAGATACGATAGGGTCCAGCTATTTCTGGATGTGATAGATTTCTTCACGAAATAAGTCATTAAAATTAAAAGGCTTCAACTCTGTTTTGGTAGCTCATGCTTCTAGATTAAATATTCAGTTTGTATTAAACAAAGCTAAGTAAAAAGGTAGGCTGTTTTCCAATTTCAAGAGAGCAAGCATTGAGAAAGTAATGAAACTATTTATAAAGTGTCAATAAAATAAAAAAATCAACTCCGCAATTTTCACAGGGCTGGGGATTAGTATTGTACATCACAGATCTGAGACGAAGTTTCCAGATTTAATCAAACAGCACCCTTCAAAGAGATTTCTTAATAAGCCTGTATATGATTGGGGTGTGAGGGGAGACAAGAGAACAGGTCAGAAAAGAAAATTAAGCCTCAGACATTCAATAGCATAGGGATAAAAGCGAGAAATCCAGAACAAAGCTATTTGGCAAAACAGGCAAAAAAAAAGTGGCCCACTATGCAGCAAGGACGGAATAGCAATTAATATAGCCTAGATATGGTCCAAAACAAGCCAGTATTTTGCTCTTTTTATGAAGAAAGTGAATGCTGAATCTTCAGAAAAAGGCAGGACAGTGAACTAGAGTGGATATACATAGAGGCTGGTTACCACGAACTAAGTGGAAGCAAAAGAGCTTCCTTGCCAGAACACCCGAAAAAATCAAACATTAAATTATTAGTCAAGGAAAAAAATATTGGTAGTAAATATATCTAATGCATGCAGTATTTAACAAAACCAAATCAAATATTCAATAAAAGGTTATGAAAATGCTCAAGAAGAATGAACAGTTCATTTCCAAAGACAAAATTGAAAAGTTTGACTCATTTATCAGAATGAAGACTGCACAGAGATAAGATTGTTTTTAAAAATGCTTCATCAGGGCACGCACTAGGGGAAAAAGAAGAGTTAGTAAAAGCAAAGTTGCACATACTTGTCTTGTTTCCATGCCAGCATTAAGTGAGCCACTGTAAGGTTTGAGCTGGAATTCATAGTTTCTATTCAGACCAGTAAGATTCTAGAATAGTCTCAGAAGCGGTAGTGATATATACTGTAAGTGCCAGTAAGGTGAAGATTATACAAAATAGTCACCTGAAGTCTTTCCTAGCCTTTATCACTTTAACCTTTTCTTTCACCCTAAGGTTCTTATTGCTCTTTATGGAAATGGCACTAACATGGCTATCAGAAACAGCTATACCTACCACAAATTTGTTAAGAACTGTTTGCCCCCACACCCCTTTCTTGCTCCCCTCCAAAAGCAGTACTGACAGGCTCCAGTCATTACAACACAGCTACAAAAGAGGAAACACAGTAAAAGCACCGACAGACACATGCTGGAATTCACAGTTCCCACCACGAAGTTTAGTATGACCCTCACTTCTGTTATCAAATTCTAAAATAGATGTGATAATACTCAAAAGCTTGGTTGTGAAAAGCAGTTCTTGTCAAGCTGCTAATTGATGCAGAAAGCAGAAGCCGCCAAGACAAAGCGTACCTCCACATAGTGCAAGCTGGGTTGGACTCCTTTTGTCCCCTCCCTTAACCCCAATGTCTGAAGTTTCCTACTCTTGCCTGTACAGCTTTCTAAAGGGCACGCCCAAAGAAAGTGCCTTTACGTTGCTAAGGTTGTCACACAGATCTTTAGATAAAATTACCTGGAAATCACAACACTAGTATGTACCACAAATGTACTACACTGGCACATTTTAACAGCAGGACCGCCAGCACTGACGCAATAAAACAAACTTGTTTTGCTAAAGTTTAGACTTCTTTGAAGTTTTTCCTGCTCATTTGAGTTTCACATGCACGCAGCAGTTTAAAGTATTAGTAAAGTTCCCTTTTGCTTGCTCCCTTTACCAGCACACTCCTTCCCCAAATTACATCTTGATACACTTGTAGAATCAAATAGCATTATTCTCCTCTGAGGAAGGGAGGTGAAGAGGAAAGACAGATATACATCTCAAAGTAAGTCTTTGTTTTGTTGTATTCTTCAGACAGCTATTCAGTCTAAGGGTGTTTGCATTCCACATCTGAAGAGTGACTAAGTCACTCAAAAAAAAAAAAAAAAAAAGCTTAGAGGAAGTTGCACAAGAGCAATGAAATAGTTCAAGCTTTTTAAAGGAAGTATTACAATGCTGTCTTTATATCCTAGCATACATATAAGCAAAACAAAAATTCATGCCATGCTGTTTTTCAGTATGCAATGCAAAGAGTTTCCCCACAGAATGGGAAGACTTTAATTCCAGAAAGCAGGTCAAATTGGAAAAGGAAGAGGGAGGGGAATGACAAGGAGTGGAAATGGGAACAGGATAGGAAAAAACTCATAGGCATTAGAAATAGAAAACAGGAAAGAAGACAGAGAGAAAAGGTCTTTAAAAAATTTGATCGTTTATATTTTTTCTTTTACACAAAAAATTATAAAAGTATAAGAGATCTATGAAAAAAGTGGCCATTTAAAAAAACCAAAACAAAACCCCAACCAAACCCACACTTTACTCCATCACAAAATAAACGTTTTCATGAAAAATAATGTAGGATGCCAAATCTTAATCCGATTTGGTATCAAAATGTTATCCCTGCATCTGGACACTTATGTATTTTCTATGAGAAAATGCTGCTGTTTGGGGGTAAAAATACCAGAAATTTGTAAAGTCGAATACTTTTTGCAGAAAGCAACACAGTTAAACACTGTAAAACATTCACGACTTCTCACACTGGACTATGGCCAGTACTCACAAGAGCAAGTGAGCAGATTTCCATAAACCTGTTGAAAATAAGACCAAGCTTACTAGTAAAAAACCGAGAAAGTACCACTTCTAGGCACTAATAGCCTATGCATTTGCCTACAGTGCTTACACTCTTACATACTTACAGTAAATCTTTTTTTCTTCTCTCTGTGTTCATCAGAGCTAGGAATGCTAACACTTGGGCAGCTTTCTTTGAGATCCATTGTATGTGTTCTTTTGACAAATTTGTAACAGAACCCTGCTTCGGGTGTTGCAATCAGAAGATATCTTCAACGGTACTGATCCAAGATATGCAGCTTTTCTTGAGAAAACGCGAATTCCATCATGTAATCTTAAAGTAAACAGAAAAGGAAAATTAAGTACAGGAACACTTAACTCACAGTGCTAAAACCTGTGAGACAAGAACATTTCTTGGCAGGAAATGCACTTTACTATGCACATATACAGCCATAATCATTATGATTTTGCAAACTGTTTTATGCTTGTGGTCCTTTGCTGTTTCACTGAAATCACTCGTGTTCTCTAAGGACGCAAGTGCACCCAAAAAATCACTGAGTTGTGTAGACATTCTGGAAACAGATTTGGGCCCACTACAGACAATACTTTGAAGGAACAAAGATAGAGCACAGAGAAATAATTAAAGATGACAACCTGGTATCAGACATCTGAGAAAAGCCACTAACATGTACATTCAGAACAGTTCATTTCAAAAACAAAGGTTTTCAACTGCATGACTCTGTACCAGAGGGCATTTCAGATTTGTCAGAACATGCTGAGTGTACTTAATTATCACATCAGAGATGAAAGACAACATGAGAAGAAATAATTTTTCACATGAATTTTACAGAGGGACACAGGTAGCATCATGTGTCTGTCTGAGTATTTACCTTCTCTGCCCCCATACTTGGCATGCTTTGTGTTTAGCAAGAATAGTAAGGTCATCCATTCCCTTCAGTAGAACACTTAGCTTCCTTGCAAGAACTTGAGAAGGGCACAAGACAAGAGAGGATAAAGCCATCAAAAAGGCAGAGAGCTTAGTATTAACTAGATGCCTCTTCACTCACCCAAGGACAGTATTCTCCACACCCGCCTTGAGCACAAACCAATTGTTTACTGGACCCCACTGCAAGCAACAGGAACTGCAGCACAGCCTAAGAGCAGCAAAAATTAATGCTACGTAGCTACAACCCTCTGTTCAGGCCTGCACGGCTGTCTGAAACGTTTTAGTGAATGCAGCTCAGCTTTTAGAACACTGTGTGTCTAACCAACTTACAAAACATGAGGAAAATTTTTTAGAAAGAGGAGACCTCAGTTCTCTTCAAAACATGCAGAGGAAAAAGAAGCACGCAGTTCAACATTTAATTCCCTATTTTCTTAAAACAAGGAAGTATAAAAGTGAACTGTGTATTTCATAATATAAATTTCCAAAAAGCACAAACTAATCCAATGCAATTCTGCTATTAGAGAGACACCCATATTTATGTTGGCACAAAGGCCAAAGTCCCTGGAATCCAGTGAAAAGATTTGTTCTTGATACCCAACTAGTCTCAGTCAGTCAGCTGACTATTTTCCTTGTTGTCAAAAGCCAGATCATGTCTCTGGTTCGAACTTCATGTTATTATTCCTTCTGTAGCCATTTAAAATTAAGTAATTTTCAAAGATCTATCTGGTGACTTTAAACAAAAAGGAGTGTTTGAAACCACTGTAATCACAGCTAAGTGATTGATCATCCATACTGTAATGTATTTAGAGAATAATTTTTAGTTACATCTGCATTCAACTTAATTTGATTGCTCCCTACTTCACTGATTAGGTAGTTATAGGGTTGAGCAGGGTTAAGCTTCCCTCCTGCCTTTACTTGACTATTAACACAACTCATCCAAGCCAGTTAACACAGACTCTGAGTTTCAAATGGGTTTCTCTTTTCCTTTGGCAAACCACTGTTAAAAGCTTTATTATAACAAGGCACAGATCCCATTTTCCACAATTTTATACTGGCATGGGATTAAGACTATTCTTCACCGATTGCCACACACTAAAATTAAGATCTGTGCTCTTCTCCATCATAAGAGGTCCACTAAAATAGTCAACAGGCACCACTTTCAGTAAGTGTTTCACTAAGCTCAGACTTTACTAAGCACTTATGTGAATCTTTAGCCACTTCAGGTCCAGCACTAGGAAGTGAGCACAAGTCCCTGTGTTTATCTGTCTTCCTGCTCATCACAGAAAAACAAGTAAAGCTTTAAAATGGATTAGGTGTTCCCTGACTAACATCACTCACCGTCTTTCTCCTCTTGTAAACTGACATTCATTACAAAGGTTCCTAACATGCTTGCACTCATTCTCACAATATAGGCTGTGCTTCTCTCATCCCTTTCATTTTTTATTCTTGGTGTCATAGCTTTAAATACCAGTACAGGAGCAGTATGGATTAAAGGCTGTAGTCCAAGGAGTATCGCTTGGAAGACTGAGCTTTATTCCAGATCTGAAGTTGAAATATCTACAGAAAACAAAAGGAGGAAGTGTCATCCAGATTAATTCAGGAAGAGTTTATTCATCTTACTGGGGAGAAAAAGAATAAGTCATCTGATAAGCTGAAACTGCAATGTTCGTATTTCTTTAAGCTGCCTAGAAGATCACTGTCTGTGATTATTTTCTTTCCCTGAGGCATCTCCTCTGAGCTGTGCGTGGGTCACCAACACGAAGCTGAACTGACAAACTTGGAAGAAATGCATTATCAATTCGACACTAAGCTCCAGAGGATCAGAGCTTTCTTTCAATTTCTATTTGCCACAAGTCTATCAGCTCTTCAGAGCTTCTTACGTCTGAATTGCAGGTCTGACTGTAGAAATATGGATAGATTTGCCTTAATCTTTGCCATGCTGTAGTTTTAGTAGCAGGTAAAACCACTAACGCTGTGGTAACTAGATGAAGTAATAACAGAGAGCAAACCGTAGAGACGTATTTTCATCCCCAGCTTCACAAGTGCAAACTGCAGTGTCTCGAGGGTTGCCAGATACGAGTGAATTCAACAGACACTGTCACTTGAGAAGTCTCTGCCTCTGCTTACAGCTTTTCCTGTAACTAAGAACAAGTATCCCCGACGTCAACTTTGACAACAGGCACAAAGGAAAAGGAACTTTAGAAAACCAGGTGGCAAAACAAATACCCCTTAACTCATACACGAGCACTAGTGAAAGAGCATGTAGATAATGCAAGACAGGTTAATACTGAGACACGTGCTGTCCAGAAACTGCTAAAACTTTTAAGTTGCTACAGTATCTAGGCCTCGAACCGGGGAAGGCACAGACAAACGCCTTAGAGAACAGAAGTCACGCATCCTCCTGGGAAAGTTTCAAGCCTGGTAACAGCTACACTGTCCGCTTTCGCCATGGTGGCTGTCAAAAAGCAGGCAGTATTTTCACCGTTTCCTGGTGACAGGAAGCTGCAACAATGTCAAATTTCAGGCTGACCCTTGCCTCTGGTGAAGTAAGAGCATGGTAGTAACAGAACCCTGACACTATGAGAACATATATAGATCTACTATACCCACAAATGAAGAATTTTCTGAATGCCTTACAATAAAATATTTTGTGCAATCTCATAACAGCTACATGTAACAGGCAAACATTATGTCATTTAGTGGTGCATAGCAACCTCCTTTTGCTCCTTTCTACACAAGCTAGGCTCAAAGTGTATTAGAAAAGGTTTCTGAAGTTTAATCAGATTGTTTTATTCTGTACGTTTTCTTTTCTTTCTTAAATTATAATGGCCTGAAGATGATACCATTGCATAACCAAAGACCCTTGTTCTGGGTGCTTATAAGTCAATCTCTGCCAAGAATGTTCAAAACTAGATTAGGAAGCTGTGTACTCACCTGCTGGGTGAGTACTCTCTAGCTGTAGCAAATTGCCTTAAATGCCTCTAATGTCAGTGCAAATCAGCTATCACGCTCACTCCAACTCTTTGAGTAATACAAGGGAAGCAGAGACAAGAACAGTCAAAAAAAATGAAAGACAGTCTCCCTGCAAGCACACTTGGAAGAATCCCCAGGATCCACACTCACCCATTGGAACAGAACAGGCATTTCCCTATACGCTAATCATCCGCCTAGAAAGACTTACTCTAGGACTGAGTCACCAGGAAAACCAGCTGCTGGAAATCCCACCTGAGTGTGATTCCAATTACAAAAGGAACCTGCATATGCAGAAACAGAAAGCAAGCTACAGGTGACAGTCCTATTATTCACTATGAACATTACTCTATTTCCTCTAACTTTAGAGAAAGTATCATCTTTGGCATACTTTTCATCGCTTCCTCAGTCTTCTCCACAAATATCCTGATAATGACTCAACATATCACCAAATATTACACAAGCTTTGAGAAAGCCCAGAAAGTCAACTTTTTCTCAACCGCTCTATGATGAAACAGGGAGTCCCACTCTCTCGTTACCAGACAAGCAGCTGACACACAGGAAACGGGAGACAAGATACTCGGAATCCAATGCAACAGAAATACAGGATGAGGAGAGCCAGGGACTGCAAGAGAAGTCGCATGCTTCAGAAAGAGTCAAAAGCAAAACACAGATCACTAACCTGTAAAGAGAGATGGATGGCCAGAAGATGTTGAATAACTAGGTTCTGAAGAAAACAGGCTTCGCATAGGCCATCCTTTTAAATACTACATACATATGATTTTTAATATGAGAACACTAAACACCAGTGTAGACCTCTAGAAGTATTACAGCTGAAGAAAAAAGGAGACCACTAACCAAAATACTCTGGCCAACCCCTGGCGTATCTCCACACTCCCTTCTAACTACAATTTGAGAGGAGAATTGAGAATTCAGCCGTTGGTGTAAAGGAAAAAGCCTGCTCCCTGTTCACACACCCACCCACTACCTTGCATTTTTAAAAATCTTTAGTATCACCACTATGGAAAGCAAACCACTACTCTGCAGCAATGTGGGCAAAGTCCAATTCCACTGATTCCTTGTACTCATAGAAAAGGATAGGAGGTAAAATGAAAACTCAACCAAGGGAAAGAAATGAGTAACTCCTCTTTTTTTTCTATCCAATTTACTTTGGAGAAGTCAGGCAAACATTCACTTCCCACGATTCTACTGCACCCAAGAATAATCCTTCTGCCCCACCTCCCAAAATATGCTCCAGTAAATTACTCTAACTGGCATATTCAAGATTTGTGGATTGGACTGGATCTATTTGCGTACATGTTTATTACATGACAGAACACGGGTTCTTTGCTGTGGTAAGCAAACCCTGAGTAATAAAATGAGTCTAAAGAACAAATACTGCCAATAAAAGGCAGCT